GCTGGATATGTAATTCTTGGCTGGCAGTTGTTTTTCTTCAGGGCTTTATATATGTCATCCCATTGCCTTCTTGCCTGCATGGTTTATGCTGAGTAGTCGGAGCTTATTCTAATTGACTCTTCTTTGTAGATGACTTTTCTTTTATTGCTAGTCACTCTTAAAATTCTCTCTTTATCTTTGGTTTTGGCAAGTTTGATTATAATATGTCTTGTTGACTTTCTTTTGGGATCTACCTTATGTGAGTTTCGATGAGCATCTTGGATAGATATGTTCTCATCTTTCATGATACCAGGAAGTTTTCTGTCAACAAATCTTCAACAGTTTTCTCTGTATTTTCTGTTATCCGCCCCACCCCACCCCCAATTCTGGTACTCCAATTACTCGTAGATTATTTCTCTTGATAGAGTCCCACATAAATCTTAGAGTTTCTTTATTCTTTTTAATTCTTTTATCTGATTTTTCCTCAAATAAGTTGGTGTCAGGTGCTTTATCTTCAGTGTCACAAATTCTGACTTCTACTGCCTCAATTCTACTCCTATGACTTTCTATTGAGTTGTCTAATTCTGAAATTTTATTGTTAATCTTCTGGGTTTCTGATTGCTGTTTAAGGACTCTTGCAGTCTATTAAATTTGTCATTATGCCCTTGAATAACTTTTTTAAGGTCCACTACTACTTTGCCTTTATGTTCTTTGGCTGTTTCTCCATTTTGAAAAAATTCCTTTCTAATTTCTTAAAGAGTTCCATATATTAATCTTTTGTATTCTGTCTCCAGTAATTTCAAGAAATTTTCTTCCTGCAGAGAATTTGTTGATTTTTTCTTTTGGGAGCTTGCTAAAGCCATCATGGACTGCCTCTTTTTGTGATTTGATATTGACTGTTGTCTCCAAGCCATCAATAAGTTATTATAATTTTATTTTTTATTTGTTTAGTGTGCCCTAGCTTCTTGTTTTGTTTTGATATGCCCAAATAGGCTGCTCGTGTGCGCTAGTTTAATTATTGGCATCTTTGAAGCTCTAACATCCTGTCACCAGGTAGTTCTGTAACTAAGTATGTGTACCCAGGAGTCTGTTAAATTTTCCTGTATGGGTTCAGCTCAGTTGTCCAGGCAGTTGGTCACCAAGTGTGTGGTGTAGGTTCTCACCTACAGTCTTAGAGAGGTATGGGTGATTGGTGTAGGCACAGGTGTCTGGCTGCAGTAGGGGGTCACGTGCTGAGCAAGGCCGGGGCTGACAGCCGTCCGAGTGTCTGAAAGGAAATCGTGTCCCTGTTCCCTAGAGTGAGTAGGTAGGTGAGTTTTGTAGCTGGACTTTCAGCACCCTACTCTGTTGGTTGTAAAGACTCGGGGGCACCACTTATTCTTGGAACCCTGTAGCAGGTGGCTAGGTGACGTGGGTGGAGCCACCAGTCCTCAAGCCCCTCGTGCAGACCGGTAAGTTGCCTACTTCAAGGGCAGAGTAGTATCAAGCGCCACAAATCTGCTACTTCAGAGCTGAAACAGTTGAAGTTAGATTTAAGGTGTTTACCCTGTTGTACTGTGGTAGTGAGGGCTTACGCTGTTGAGATGGGTCCACACAAGTCTATACAGGGGTGGAAGGCACTCAAAGTCTGTGGGCCCCTTATGCCTGTGCCTAGGCAAAGGAGCTGTGCCAACCCTGAGTTCCTGGCTTAGGGCAGCCAGTAGCTTAATTTTTTCCCTGTTTGTTAATTTGTTTCCTCTCCAGGGCCAGGAGAATGGGTCAGGGCGCCTTATGGGATCTGCTTCTGGCCTGGTGGACTCAGAGATCTCTGAAGCCAGCTAGACTGGTACAAAGTGGGGAGGGAGGAGGTAAATGGGAGAGAGGTTTTTCCCAAATGGATTTTTTTTTTAAATCCCCACAAAAGGCCACACACATGTACTTATCTTCAGCCACTTGGGTGCTGCATTTTACTGGTTCTGAGTGTCCAAGCAGAATCTCTTCTGCTGGATTTCTCTCGATGTGGAAACTGCTTCCCGAGCGAGTGCGCGGAGCTTATGCCTGCTTCACTGTGCACCCTGAGCCGGTCCGGGCTAAAGGGCTGCGGCTTCCGCTAAGTCAGGTCTGGCAACTCCTCGCCTCTTCCAAACATCTCTGTCTCCCCCCCACCACTCAATCCGATCCCTCAACTTTGTCTTGTTCGGGGCTCCTAGATATTCATATACAATCAAATCACTTGTTGTTCCAGGTGTTTGTTGTAAGAGGGATGTAGGAAGCTGTCTGACTACTCTGCCATCTTGGCCCCATCCTCTAAAGATGCCTTTTTAAAGTTCTAGCAGCCATGCTGTGACAAACTGCTAAACATACACAATTCTTTAGCACAACACTGCTTAGCAGTATAGTTTATATATCCATATTTGGTTTAAATTAAGTGTAATTTATGAAGCAACCCCTCAGGATCTTTCTGGCCACTTTAAGTACAGTCCTTAGTAGAGGCTAGGAAACAGTTGTTAAGGTGCTATCCTGCCTCATAATTCTAAGACCTTTAATGTTACTGCTCTAATGACATCCTGATCTAAGTCTTCCTCTTGTTAAATCAAGAAAAAGCACTCTTTTTATCTGTGAGAAATGGAATTTTAGTTAAGTTTCAACTCTTTCATTTTAACTTAGATTAAGATAAAAAAGCAGAGTAATTTGAGAGGTTATTTAAACACAGTTAAGGAATGTGGCCACAAGGTTGTACGGCTTTTAGCATCTGCAGGGACTGTTTTTAAATGCTAGGTAGGAAAGGACAGTGAAATTCAAAAGTACTTGCGTTTTATGTTTTGCTGAGTAATCCCCCTTATAAAAACTTTTCAGAAGCCTGTAATGTTAAACCTGAAAGGAACTTTGAGTAGGAAGTGGGGGCCCAGAAGCCATAAACGATTTCCTGAATTAATTAGTAGCTAAGGTAAGACTTAGCTTCAGAACGCAAACTTTATTATAATTTATTATACGAGTTGTCAGAACAGACCAGGATGTGAATCATAATTGTGCCATTCATTGAAGTTTAAGCCAAAATTTTAATGGCCTTTAAAATTAGGAGTTAGAGTAATATGCAAATTAAGGTCTTCTTTATGTGGAAAACTTGTTATTTATTTATTTTGAAGGAAACTGACTTTAATATTGGTTGGAGATAAACTCCAAGGAAGGAGGATCTTAAGAGTGTTCTGGCTTGCTGTTGCCAAAATCATTTTTCTGAAGTACTACTCCAATCTTGTGACTTCTATTCAACAGCATTGATGGTTGTTTACTAGTACATATTGTCTAGTCCTACAAGTTTTTTTTCCTTCTTAAATTGCTATTTGACTTCCAGCCAGAATATGTTCATTTGTACTATAGTGATTATCTGTAACCTCTAAAATATTGTGTAGACTCTAAATGAAATTGATTTTTTAATGTGGATAACTGAATCTTTTCACCCCTTGTTAGAGCTGACAAAAAAAAGCCCTTTTTCTATTTTTGTCAAAACTAAAGATGAGTGATGTAGTCACATAAGGAAAAGAGTTGGGTGAAATAGCAGGGAACGAGGCAAATTTGTCAAAAATCAAGCATTAATATGGAACCCTGGTGGCACAGTGGTTAAGCATTCGGCTGCTAACGAAAAGATCGGCAGTTTGAATCCACCAGCCACTCCTTGGAAACCCTATGAGGCAGTTCTACTCTGTCCTGTAGGTTTGCTATGAGTCAGAATTGACTCAACGGCAGCAGGTTTAAACATTAATATAGGAGTCCCTGGGTAGTGCAAATAGTTCAGTGCTCAACTGCTAGCTGAAAGACGGCAGTTCGAACCCACCCGGAGGCACTTTGGAGGACAGGCCTGGTGATCTTCCAAATGGTCACAGCCTTGAAAACCCTATGGAGCAGTTCTGCTCTGCGCAGCTGGGGTCACCATGAGTCAGAGTTGACTCGACAGCAGCTAACAACAACAAGCATTAATATTTATGAAGCACTTAGTGTAAATACTTGATTTAAATGAAAGACTATACAAATAAATACATGAAAAAGTAGAGAAAATTATTTAGAGTTTACCTTTTGTTCTACTCTGTCATATGGAGTCACTGTGAGTCCGAATCCACTTAAAGGTACTGTCTTCATCATCTAGTGCTGCTATAACAGAAGTACCATAAGTGATTGGCTTTAACAAAGAGAAATTTATTTCTTCACAGTAAAATAGGCTGAAAGTCCAAATTCAGGGTGTCAGCTCCAGGGGAAGGCTTTCTTTCTCTGTTGGCCTTCTCATCAGTGTTCCCCTGGACTAGGAGCTTCTCTTCACAGGGACCCCAGGTACAAAGGATGTGCCCTGCTCTCGGCACTGCTTTCTTGGTGGTATGAGATCTCCACCCCCCACCTCCCCACCCCCAGCTTCCCTGTCCTTTTTGTCTCCTGAGAGATAAAAGGTGGTGAAGGCCACACCCCAGGGAAATTCCCTTTATATTGGATCTGGAATGTGACCTGGGTAAGGGTGTTACAATCTCACCCTAATCCTCTTTAACATAAAATTACAATCACAAAATGGAGGACAACCACACAATACTGGGACTTATGGCCTAACCAAGTTGACACATATTTTGGGGGGATAAAATTCAATCCATGACAGGTACCCAACAACAATGCCTTTAAAAAGGATTTGTACAATTACTTTTCCTGAGCACTAATATATATAATAATAAAGGGAATAAAAAGTGCTATCATTTAATACATTTTATATATATCTTCCATTTAAATTTTAAAGGGTTGCTGTTATAATTCTAGATTCTGGTACTAGTCTAGCTAATTAGCTGTGAAATCTTTTGTATGTCTTTTTACCTCTCTCTCTCATTTTCTTGCTTGTAGAATAGAAGATGGTTTTTAGATACCTATCTCTATAAAATTCAAAGATTGTACAAAATAGCCGATGTTCCTAGTTAGAGATCTTTACACGATAATGATCGTGGTTGAATATATGCTCATTTTGAGGAGCACATTTTACCCTTGTTTACAATTTTGTTTTCTTTTCTCCCAAGATCTCAGTGGTTCAATACCATCTCCAGATGTCAGATTAAACCTTGGTGGAGATTTTAGCAAAGAATCTACAGCTACTGCATTTCTGAGACAGAGAGGGTATGGCTGGCTTTTGGAAGTTGAAGATGATGATCCTGAAGATAACAAGCCACTCTTGTGTGTAAAAATTATAATATGTATTTTTTTGTTATTCAGGCTAATCTGTGGGATAATTATGTTCCTTCATGTTATTTAAAGGCAAATATTGAGAACGTTATCTTTTTTGCTCAAAAGATATAGCAATTTTCAATTTTACTAGTAATAAAAAAACTGATACAATAATGAAAAAATTGTTTTAACCTATTGAATGGTAAAAATTAAAAGAATGGTAATTCTGTGTGTCTGTTTCTCACACAGACACAGACACACACACACACACAGACACACACAGACACACAGACAGACACACAGACACACACACACACACACACAAATATACACCAAACATTTAGGACTTACTTGGGACTATCAGCTACTTCAAGTAAACATGCAATCTAAATGAAAAAATGAGTGCTTTGGTGCTAGCTATACAAATTCAGCCTTAAGAGAAATTAAGACTTCAAAAAAGATTACCACTCAAATCGCTCCTATACCCGTAGTTCTAGAGCTGCCACAGGGGTTGAGGTTATAGGGAGAATTGCACTTTCTTCACAGTACTTGAAATGTTTAAAGTGATTATGTATCACCTGGGAAATAAAGAAATTAGGAATTTTGGAAAGAAGAACCTATAGCTTTGTAAAATTAAGACATTACCAAGGTATTCTTTGTAGTAGATTGTTAGTAGTGGTTAGTATAGATTGGTAGATCAGGTGCTAAAACACCCCAAGTTTTATGTTAATATTGGTATACCATATTTTATTCAATCTAAGACACTATGGATTATAAGATACGGTTATTTTACATATCATTAAGAAAGAAAACAAACTTCAGAGGGTTATCTCCTCTGTGAAAGGGACAGCAAGGAAGTTTGCTTATGTACATTTGGCACTGGGTGGAGTGTTAGAAGAAAAAAAATTTTCCCTGAGAGTGTAAATGCCACACTGGTTCTCATATAGATTTGCAGTCTGAATTATCAGTATAGTCCAAAAAAGTCTCAAGCAGAGAATTTTATTTAAAGTTGTTCCAAATTGGTAGTTCCTCCAGGAGACAAGGAAAAGGAAAGGCAAATCTTTGAAGCACTTGGCTTCACTCTAAGCTGACAACAGTGGTAGTAAGACCACAGCTATTATGAGATGAATCTCCCAACTTTAAAGATGGTGAAATGTTGAAAAATGTACACCTTAGAATCAGTGAAATATGGTGCTTTAAATGAAAGTGTTTTTTGACCTAGGGAGACAATACTGTCATATTTACATTTTTCTTAAATTCTTTTGCAACTGCCTCAGTATTCAGGAGTGTACCTTTTGAGAATTTTTATTTTAAAAATATAGGGAGGAATTGGATATCGATCTAAAGGATATTTACTACAAAATCCGATGTGTTTTGATGCCAGTGCCATCGCTCGGTTTTAACAGACAAGTGGTGAGAGACAATCCTGACTTTTGGGGTCCTCTGGCTGTTGTTCTTTTCTTTTCCATGATATCATTATATGGACAGTTTAGGGTAAGTATATTTTGTTTTACACAAATTCTAAATATTTCAAGAGGTTTAAAAATTAATATAGTGAAGTATTAACTGTAATTAATACATTGTTTGAGAAATGCTGTATCTTTACCCAGTATTTCTTGTTCATCCCCAAAACTGTTAATAATTAAGTGGGAATACCTTAAATCAGTGCTTCCCAAACTTTTCCACATCATCATTCACATACAAAATGTTATTATTTGTATGACACACTGGAGTATATGGATGGAACTACTCCCAGCTGACCAGAAGTGACAATCCCTCATTTACTCTGCCTCTTCTGACTTCCCCAAGAGATGCAGAGCTTGAGACACATTACTTATAATCGTGTTGCTACCTTCTATTCATTTTTAATTGTTTTTAAAAATAAACATTTTTAATAAATAATGGCAAGGATTCCATCAGTATTTTTTTTTTTATAGTGCTTCTGATATTTTCACCACTTTGTCCTACTCTCAGGGGCTTTATCTTTTTCATCAAAATACACACAGAAACATCCCTGTCCTTATTTTAAGACTTTAGGGAAGTAAAAAGTAACTCTTTACCACAGAGTGATTTTTGAAATGTGTTGGTTTCCTGTTGCTGTTGTAACAAGTTGCCACAAATTTACTGGCTTAAAACAACATAAATTTGTTCTCTGACAGTTCTGGGGGTCAGAAGTCCAAAATGAGTCTTAAGGGATTAAAATCAAGATGTCGGCAGGGCTGGTTCTTCTGGTGCCTCCAGGGGAGAATCTTTCTTGCCTCTTCCACTTTTAGAGGCTGCCAGCATTCCTTGGCTCCTAGCCACATCACTCCAGTCTCTGCTTCCAGGGTCACATCATCATCTCTTCTACTATAGTCAAGTCTCCCTCTGCCTCCCTGTTATATGGATACTTGTGATTACATTAGGGCCCACCCAGATAATCCAGGATAATCTCCCCATCTCAAGATATTTAACTCAATCACATATGCATAGTCCCTTTTCCTGTATAAGGAAACATTCACAGTTCTTGGGATTAGGATGTAGACATCTTGGGAGGTGGACGTTATTCAGCCTACCACAAGGAACCTTTGGAGGTATGATTTCTGAGAACTGTATTCAATGAAAATTACACTGGTCTTATTAATATTCACCCTAGATCAGTAGTTTATATTAGGTATTCTGAAGTGTTGTAAGGACCACTGAAGGTGAAGGGGGGTTTTGACCTCCTGTCCACCACCAGACCTTCATCTAGAACATTTTTTGTTTTATCTATTTTGTATAATCTTTCATTTGAGCAAAGGATTCTAAGGCTAAAAGCAAGATTATTGCCCTCATAGAATATTGCTCACTTTAAGTTTGATGTTTTCTTATGATTGGATTGAGTTTATGCATTTTTAGCAAGATTACCATAGAAATGATGTTGTATCCTTCTTTGGGTATGATACTGAAATGTCTTACTACTGGTGATATTTATCTTGATCAGTTGATTAGATGATAAAGTAATGTCTACCCAGTTCCTCCATTGTAAAGGTGCTATTTTTCCCTTTATAATTAATATAGAGATACTTCGCAATTATGCAAATATCCTGTTTCTCATCAAACTTTAGCCCACTAATTTTAGCTTCAATTGATGCATATTGGCATGTAGAAATTATTACTATAGTGTTTGCTGAATAGAGATTTTTCTATTTCCCTCATTCCTTTGATATTTATTGTTATTTTTCTCTAAGGAAAAATTATCCTTCTTTCCCGTTACTTAATTATTATTTATTTCAATATGAACTCATAGCTGTTTGTTCTCTGAGTTATAAGCCAGTAGTATCATCATTTATTTTACTGTTCAAATTGTTCCACCTTTCACCCCTTCAGGTTGGCTTCTGTATCCTGTCAGCATGTCCCCATCCTTTTTTGAGTACTTCCTTACTTTCTGACCCTACAGGGTTTTCCAGGCTCATCTTATTTTTCCCTGCTCTGGTCCTGGACTCAGCCATTTTTGTAAGGAGTCTTGCTTCCTTTTATTGGGAATGATATTTAGAAACTAGGATGTGGATAATAAGCATGCTTATGTTGCTACTGAGGTGTCATTGTTTCTAGGCCCTTCCAGCAGACAGACTTTGGAAATACGTGCATGTATCATTACGCTAAGTCTGAGGAGTCAAAGTTGTCTGAAATGTCTTTCCTATTCCATTAATTGGATGAATGTGTAACTAAGTTTTAAAGAACTCCAGAGAAGACTGCTAACTTGTTTCAGTTATTAATTTTCATTGAAGGATGCTATAAACCAGGGGGTTGGAATAAGCGCTTTGTTGTCTTTTTTTGCAGTATTCTTTTATCATAGATCTTGAAATACTGAGGTTTCCTTAGGCAATTAATCATTGACAAATTTTCAATGTGGGTGTAAAATTGTATTAAACATTGTATTCTTGTTAAGGTTTGGGAAGATACCTAGGAACTCACATAACCTTTCCGTGACCTAAAATTGGGCATGTCAAACTATCTTATATGGCAGAGAATTGAGTTCCTGTAAAATTATCAGCTTGTTTGATACAAAGAAATTAATTGCATGAAATATTTTTTGTTGTTTTCCCTTAAGGTGGTCTCATGGATTATCACCATTTGGATATTTGGTTCCCTAACAATTTTCTTACTGGCCAGAGTTCTTGGTGGAGAAGTAAGTAGTTGACTTGGAAAATAGCTTTTGCTTTTTATGGTAGGCTTTATTTTTGGTACTGTAGGTACAGTCAGTAACTACACTCAGTATAATGGTTTCTTGTCCCAGAATTGCTTTTAAGTCGTGCTAGTCCTTTAAGATGATTTATTATTCAACAAGTTAGTATTGTGCTTACTCAGTAAATGTTACAAGGAATGAATAGGAAAGAAAAGATCCCATCCCACTCCTCAAGCATCACAGCTTTTTAAAGAAGCATATAATTGTTACAGCAGTTCTCAAAATTTCCAATCTGAAGTCCCCCCACAGAGTTTTTGTTTATGTAGCTTATGTTTATCTATATTTACCATATTAGAAATTAAAACAAAAATTTTAAATATTCATTAAAAATAACAGTAAACCAACTACCTGTTAGCATAGCCCATTTTTAAGAAAAATAACTATTTTCTAAAACAAAAAAAGTAAGAGTGACATTGTTTTACATTTTTGCAAGTAGCCTTATTGTCTAGCTTAATGGAAGGTAGCTGTATTTTTTATCTGCTTTTTTGTATTTAATCTGTGATGATAGGTGGTTTTGGTAAAGTATATGAAGAAAATAAGACCTCACACAGACATGTTATTGGAAAAGACAGCAGTATTTTAATAGTCTTTTCAGACAATTGATATTTTTAGATACTGTACCAAAACTTGAGAAGTAGTAGTTTCTTCAAGATTTGGAATCTGAAGCCATATCAGTGAACTTTTCATACTCTTTCATTAAAATTCACTTTGAATGGATCTTTTTAGCCATGCAGGACTTGGTAGCATCATATGTTGGTCATTTGGAAAACATTTGTACACTGAGTTATGCAGATCTTCCAAATGTTGACACATTTTATTATACAGTATCAGGAAATCATAATCATTGATATCACTGCTTATATCATCAGAAAAGTCTTTATTGGAAAACTGTCAAGCTTACAGTGATAGATACAAGTTTTCCAAAATTCTGATTTTTGCTTGAAAACTCAAAGATTTTATCATTTGCAGCAAATACTGTCAGTTGTTTTCCCTGAAGCGATGGGCTCACTTCATTCATTTTCAAGAAAAGGCCTACCATGACCCAAATCTGAATAACCATGGTTTGTCTTTCAGTTGTTCTTTCAAGTAAAAATGGCATTCTGTGAAAAAAAGCATCTAACTCAACTCTTCACTTATTCACACAAGTGCTCTTCCTTGGGATAGTCCTTGAACTTCAGTATGCAGCAGAAATGCTTCATGTGTACTTCCCATTTTGTCACACAGAATATTAAAAAGATACATACTCAAAAGTTGAAGTTTAATAAAAATCATTTTTATTGCTTCATCAAGGACATTCTTAAATGTACTGGCTTTTTTCCTTCTTTTTCTGTGTACGTAGTAAAGAACACAATAGCTACTAGTACAGTTTGTGCCACCTGGATTTGTGCCAAGACAACAGCAGTTTTACCCACCGTTGCCTTTTTGCCCAATTAGTGCAAATATCAATCCAATGAAAAAGGCAAACAATGTCTTATTAATATTATTATAAAAAATAATTGTGACGTTAGTGTTCTGGAAGGGTCTCTACGACCCTCAGGAGTCCGTGAGTCACACCTTGAGAGCCATCCAGTATTTTATTAATTAAGACTATGAATTGCTATATACCTAGGGGCACTGGTGGCGCAGTGGTTAAGAGCTACAGCTGCTAACCAGAAGGTCGGCAGTTCAGATCCACCAGCTGCTCCTTGGAAACCCTATGGGGCAGTTCTACTCTGTCCTATAGGGTCTCTGTGAATCAGAATCCACTCAGTAGCAATGGGTTTTATATACCTGGGAATTCTAGTGGTTTATTCTGTGGAGAGAGTAAAACAAAGGGATGCAAGGCAGAGTTATGATGTGAGTACTGGCTCATGTCAGGCAGACTATGAGTATCAAATGCTAAATGCAGAAACTTTGAATCGTTTTTTTGCGCTTGGTGGAAAGGTCTGCCAAGGCTATTACTTAGCTCTTACCCATCTGCTTTCTAGCTTCTAAAATTATGCTGCTGTTCTCCTGTCTCCTGTTCTTTTCCTGGATATGCCCCTTATAAAAAAGGAGTTTTCTTTTTTCTGTTTTATTTTAGTAGAGTTTCAGGAGACAGTGATATTGCATATGTGTGTACAATCCAACATCTTAACCTAGAACTCTCAAATTAGTTTACAATAACATTTACTTACCAAGCTTTTTCACATGGAAATGAAAATAATTTTAATGGAGACCTAAAATTAATTTGTTAACATAGTATTTCTTATATTCTACACATAATCTAATGTAATATTTATTTGAAAATAGATATCACTAAATTTTTTTGGCAGTGTAGGACTGTTGATGCAGGAGTTAATTAAGAAGCCTAGATCTTAATGTGAACTTTATCACCTACCAGTCTTGCTTTCTTGAGCAAACGTTTTGTCTAAGACTTAGTTTTTTCCTAATGGGGATGATAATACCTACTTCATAGGATTGCTACTTCATTTGATCTTCACAGCTGTGAAGCCTTATCACTGAACTTGGCATATAGGAGCTACTAAGAATATTTTCTCTTGTCTCTCCTCACCCCTTCTCCCTTCCTTTCCAGTCTGCATTTGTCACAACTAGCTTCTCTAGACCTTGATTTTTTTCATCTGAACAAGGTGACTGTGGTCCTTTCAAGTAATCCTCCTACAACTTAAGGGAAGTAGTGACAGTGTATACGCTATAGATACACTGAAAGTAATTAGATTTGTAAGTCTAAAGCTCAAGAGAAAGATAAGGACTAGAAATGTAGATTTGGGTATTTTCAGAAAACATATAATCATTGAAGCAGTAGTGGTGCTCCCAGGAACTTGAGAGAGTCAGTAATTCTGAATATGTCAAAATTTTCCTAAATTAATCTGAAAATGTAATACAGTCACAAAATTCCAACAGATATGTTGAGGAATTTAACCAAAATTATGCTCAAATTCATTTAGCAGAAATATATATGCATGTGAGACAATCCAGGAAAATTATTGGAATAGTATATATATTTGTATAATGATTTGAAATGTAAGGATTATGCTACTTTATGACTTTTTCTTTATTCTCTTGTGTATATAAGTAAACAGTATATGATGTTCAATAGTGATTAAAATGAGTATCTTGATTTCTGTGATATTTATTTAAAATTTGAAAATTCACAGGTTGCATATGGCCAAGTTCTTGGAGTTATAGGATATTCATTACTTCCTCTCATTGTAATAGCCCCTGTACTTTTGGTGGTTGGATCATTTGAAGTGGTGTCTGCACTTATAAAAGTAAGTTACGTAGAGTGTATTATAGAAAGAAGTGTGCTATTTTCCAATGTCAAAAGTATACTAGTTCTCTGGCTAAAAATATCATAATATATAACTGTTTATCAAACAGTTGGTAGTGTTTTGGAGCAGTGACCTTCCTTACTGATCTTACTTATTGTATTTCTTTTAGTTTTCCCCTTTAATCTGCTAGAAATTAGTTACATGTCTAGGGAATAAAAAGTACAAAGAGTAAATCAGGCCTTGGGATATTACACTTAGAGAATTTTTAATGTTGAATTTTTCTTCCCCATGTTTATAGCACAATTTCATCTGACTTAGACTTTTGAGGAGGATATTTATTTAAAATTCCACTGTGCATTTATTTAATAACTGTTACTCTTGTTTGAGTAGTAACTTTCTTATATAATAAACATGATTCTAATAAATTGACTTTGCTGTATTGTAGAGATCAGAAATTCTTTATGCTGTGTTATATTTACATTAAGATACATATACATTTACAGATAATATTAAGTATTAATAATAAATAGTAATGTTACTTAAATTTTGGCATTTATTAATTTTGAACAACTTTGGGGAATAAATGACTGCTTTAGCATGTGTGTGTATATTATACAGTGAATATAACTTTTTTCTTTGTGGATAATAGAACTTTTTAAGACCACCACTTTCAGAACTGCGATTATGTAGTCTCCCCACTAAAGTATTTTTTTATGAGTAGCCAGAGCCACTTAATTTTTATGATATTTGATTCTTTTTAAAGTTCATTACTAATTCCAATATAAAAGAAATAACGATTCCTTTTAGAATTGGGTACCTACAGGCTAATACTGACATTATATAAGCACTGGGTATTAAAAACAATGTGGGTTTTTGAATTCAAATCCTGGTTCTGCCACTTGCTGTCTGGCTTTTGGGGAGGTATCTTAACTTTTCTTACCGTCAGTTTGCTCATCTGCAAAGTGAAATCTTAAATACTTTTTTGGGTTTGTTATGAGGATTGTAAAGTATATATAATGCCTAGTATAGTGCCTGGCACAGAGTAGGCACTCAGGTGGTAACTATTGTTATTACAAGTATTGTAAAAGAATATTTTGAGACTATCCTTGCATATTTGAACTCTTCAAACATTTTAGGGGCCATGGGGAAGACCTTACCTTCTGCCTGAAATCTTTAAAAATAAAAGTTGACAGTTTACCCATTATTAGAACTTGTCTTAAAAGTCTTGCAGTACAGCAGCTTGCCACTTGCTGGGATTAATTATCCTACCCTTAGTGAACATAACCGCTTTATCGAATCATTCAGGATCACTTCCTGCTCTGTGTTGTTTTACTTGGGTTAAAACCTGTTTGAATATACACAGTCCCCGGATTGCTAACAAGATCTGTTCCTAACTATGTCCTTAAATCTTTAAGTCGAATTTGTAGGTGAGTCAGAACATGTGCATACGTTTCTTATTTTAAAGGCTCCAAGCCTTTTCAATGATTTAAAAGCTGCACGTGCAGCAAGTGAAGGCAGTTGTGATGAAGAATTTGTTGCGAGTAGGGGTTGGTTCCTTCCTTTCAAAGTGAGGACAAATTTACATCACATTAAAGGGCAAGTATGAGTTGTCTGTAAGTCTGGCATTTGTAATCCAGGGACTGCCTGTACTTCAGAGACTACTCCTAAAATTGCCAAAACCATTGTCCTCTGATCATCGTTTAGTCACACAGTTCAGTGAAAGTTGGAATTTAATATTATTTATGTACTATATGAGTGTATTATTATAAAATGGAAAAATCTGTTTTTTATATCATTAGAAATTTAGGATAAAACTTTTTAAACTTAAGGATTTTTTTGCCAAAATTTTTTTCCCAATCACTTAATCATCTGTGTGTAGTGAGCTATTGTGCGTGTTTCTTGTTTAAATTCAAGGTTTGTTGAGATATATGTTAGAAAACTTTCACCAGTTAACTCTACAAAACCTAATTTTATTTAACATTAAATTTCTTTAGATTTAGAGATATCTGATTACAGAGATTCAAGTGTGATAAGAAAAGGCCCCATTTACAGAAGTCAAGGAGCAGAGTGAGAACAAACATTCTCAACACATTTTTAACATTCTTCATAAGTTTTGCTATTTACCACAATCGGTTGTCAGAGTTGGCTTTCAAGAAATGTTGTAAACAGTGTTTTTACTCTATGATATGCAAAAAGTTATTTGACTTGCTAATATTTTTTTTTTTTTTTTTTTTAAGCTATTTGGGGTGTTTTGGGCTGCCTACAGTGCTGCTTCATTGTTAGTGGGTGAAGAATTCAAGACCAAAAAGCCTCTCCTGATTTATCCAATCTTTTTATTATACATTTATTTTTTGTCCTTATATACTGGAGTGTGATCTGAAAAAGACATACTTGAGTGGAAAAAGATGATGTTACGTTTGCGTGTAGACTGGGAGTCCTTGCTGAGGAAATTGGAGAAAACCTCTTGGTGATAACATTTTACACTTTCCAGATAGATGTACAGACAGGATTAAGGTCTCCTAAAAAATCTGACTAAATTTGAAAAATTCTTCCAGGCTGGAATAGACTTTAGTTAGTCACCAAAAAAAAAAAAAGATTTTTTTTTTTGTATTTAATTAAGCAGTTGCAGATATTTGGTTTGTTTGTTTGTTTTCCACAATTCTAAAGTCTGTTTGATTCTTCATATTCCAGTGAATAAAATATAAAAGCATTGTGTTTTTAAGATTGTGTTGAATTTCAACTAAAAACTTGTGCCAAAAGTACCTGGACTGGTAATTTATGTTTCACTTGAAGGGTAAATATGACAAGATCTTAATAATCTAGAAGTGCAATTTTTTTTCTTTAAAGAGTTTTCTCCTGCACCGTAGATCCTGTAGATATATATTTATATTTATACGTATATATTTATGAAATAATTCTTATTATTCACAAAATATATTTCTGAATAACCTGAAAATTAAGATATTTTAAAC